TCTCAGCAGCTTTGTGGCCATGTCGTGCCCATAGCAACTTGCAGAAATTTCTGAAAATGATGGCAGGAAGTCCATCATCCCCCACCCCAACCCCAGACCCAAAGTGCTGCCTCCCCAGCCCTTGTAGATTCACCCAGTATGAGCATTTTCTCTGGCTTTTCACTCTGTGGCTGAGTGAAGGAGCCCACCAACGTTGGGTAAATCATCCCCACGGTGGCAGTTTTGCGGGTAACAGGACAAGGGGGGTCTTTCCATGAGCCTCGCCCGCAAGGCAAAGGACATGGATGGGTCACAGATTCTGTTGCTCATTTTGAGCCCAGCCTTTTGCCAATCTAGCTCGTTGGGGCCTCTTGGCTGTGCCTCAGAGAACATTCCCCAGTGGCACAGATTTTTAAAAGGCATTTAGGTGGTTGTATTTGCCTCTTAATAATGAAAACTGAATAGGGACTAGTTTTACAGTTAACTCCAGGCACGGTTGGCGGTGGGAGAATGTCCGGCCCGTCGCAGTGCTGCCCAGCCTGGAGGAAACGGGCGCCCGCATGAAATCGGGACATTCTGCTGCCACCTGTCAGAGCTGGTTTTTTTCCCAGCACAGCAGGGGAGCCAGATGAGTGATCTTAGAGCTCTGAAATTTTATGGCGATTTTTAAAATTCTAGCTTTTCAATGACAAATAGCTCCCATCTTCAATTCATATCTGCTCAATCCTCCCACACTGTCGGGGGCTGGTGGCCATGCTTCGTGTCACCTTTTACTTACGTCTGAGGCCTCTTGTCGCCTCTTAGAGTGTCAGTGTCCAGTCGTCGAGGCTGCATATCCGTCACATACTTCTAACAGGGCTGAGAACTTCCTCTCTAGTCTAGGAAAACATCCGCCGCCTGAATACCCTGGTACGGAACTGGGGACACTGGGAGGCAGCTGGAAATACCCACTGTACCTGTGTGGAAGTCTGGCCCTTGGTTGTGTAGCTTTTCCATCAGTTAGATTTACGCATCTGGTTTGGCTGCTCCTTGGTTAAAAGCTTAATGACAAATGCGGGCATAATCCATACCTATTCCCACTGTTGCCAGAATTCAAACAGTTGCTTTTTATGCAACATGTTGGTTCAGATTTTTCCATAGATGGAGGCCAAAGAAACCTTTAATCCTGGAGGAAGTATGTACCCTCCCTACCCCACCACTGGAAAACAATTTTTTTGAAGCGGTCGAGAGAGTATATGCAGCTTTTGGCTTCTAGTTGCATGGTTTGGTATGATCAGCCTTTGTGCATAAAAGGAGGGTCCCAGACAACAGAGCCCTCCCTACTCCCACTCCACTGTCCCCAGGTATCCAGGCGGGCACGCAGTCCCCTTCAACAGAAGGAGCGAGGCGTTTCCTCCCACTGAACATGACTGGGGTATGAGCAAGGCAGCTCTGTATTTCCAAATCAGATATTCTAATAGGTTTTTTCCTGCCCACTGGGGCACCCCTGCCCTCATCTCCAGAGGTGCCCTTCTGAGCCATAGACCACTTCCTGGAGCTTCCTCCATGTGGCTTGGACTAAGGATATTTGGGGACCCAATGGACAGAGCAGTGGCTGAGCTTCTGTGGCCAGCTCTCGGGGAGCCTCCTCAGGGAACTGCTATTCTGAGCGGCTGGATGTCCAGTTAAGAGCACACGCTTCTTGGCAGGGCGCCCTCTGCATGTGTCTTCCATCCAGCCGCTGCCAGCGGGGAGTGGTTGCTGGGTGTCTGAATACAAAGAGAGCCTTGATTACCTAGAGAGAGAGGAAAGAGGGCTGCCAGCCAGATGGGGCCAGGCCCGAAGGCCCTGCAAGAAAGGACTGAGCGAGGCAAGGCCAGGCAAATCCATCCCAGATGCCCAAGAGGCAGGCTGGGCACGGTTTCTGCAGGGCCATGCGAACTTTCTGAGGCCCGGCCATGACCTACCAAACAGCAGGCGAGTAGAATCAGAGGACTCTTGTGTCCAAAAAGAACCCCCCTTAAAAACAACCAAAATCTAGAACTTGTCACGCCACTTGAGTCCCCTGCTAGACTTTTCTGGCCTGCTGGGCTGAAGGCTACCATCTCTCTAATAGGCGAAGCAGGAGCAGTGAGTCAAAAAGTTGTAAATAATAAATATATTTATCCTGCTATTTATTTTTTCAACAACTGTGACCTCCTGCACTGTGAATGCTCTGTGATATGAGATTCTTAGTTTAATAAAACTGTCATTAATTTTGAATGAATTGATATTATCGGTTACGAAACACTGGCATGAGTTTATTTTTATTGTGAAGAAAAATCTAGAGTAAATATGAATTAAATCTTTATAAGAAATCTAGCAGTCAGTATTGTAATGCAATATATCAAGATCTGTACACTGTCAATAAAATAAATGAGCAC